TTTTTAGCAATTGTGAACACGGGTATACAAATATCTCTTCAAAACCATGCTTTCAGTTCTTTTGGGCATATACTCAGAAGTAGAATTGCTGTATCACATGGTAACCATGGTAATTTTCTTTTTCTTTACTTTTTTTTTTTTTTTTTTTTATTTCTAAGTACTTATTTATTTTTATAAAAGTATCATTTATATAGTTAAGCAGTGTGTGATACTCTTTTTTTTGAGACAGAGTCTTGTTCCTTCACCCCGGCTAGAGTGCAGTGGTATCATCATAGCTCACAGCAACCTCCAATTCCTGGGCTCAAGCGATCCTCCTGCGTCAGCCTCCCTAGTAGCTGGGACCATCGGCACGCATCACCAGGCCCAGCTAGTTTTTCTAATTTTTTTGTAGAGATGGGGTCTTGATCTTGCTCAGGCCGGTCTTGAACTCCTGACCTTAAGTGATCCTCCCGCCCTGGCCTCCCAGAGTGCCAGGATTACAGCCATGAGCCACCATGCTGGGCCCTATTTTTCATTTTTATTGAGGAATAAAATACTGTTTTCCATACTGTTTTCCATACTGTTTTCCACAGTGGCTGTACCATTTACATTATCTGCAACATTGTGGAGCCTTCCAATTTCTCTCTGTTCTCACCAACACTTGTTATTATTTTTTGATAGTATTCATTCCTGTTTATGGCCAAATGATATTCCATTATACACATACACCACATTTTGTTCATTCATGTTGATGGGCATTTGGGTCATTTCTGCTTTTTGTCTATTATGAATAATGTTGCTGTGAACATTTGTTCATGTGCAGGTTTTTGTGCGGACATGTTTTCATTTCTCTTGGGCATATATTATTAATATAACTAGGAGTGGAATTGCTGGGTCACATGGTAACTCTATGTTTAACATTTCGAAGAACTGCCCAACTGTTTTCCATTTTATACTCCCACTAGTAGTGTATGAGGGTTCTAATTTCTCTGTATCCTAACCAGTACTTTTTATTATCTGTCCTTTTGATTATAGCCATCCTTGGGGGTGTGATGTGGTATCTCATTGTGGTATTGATTATATTTTTCTAATGACTACTGATGTGTTTTCTTTTCATGTGCTTTGTAGCCATTTGTGTATTTTCTTTGGAGTAGTATCTGTTCAAATCCTTTGCCCAATTAAAAAATGTGAATCTGTTTTGACCCAGCACTTCCACTTCTTGTTATCTGTCCTGGGGAAATGCTCATGCATGTGCACAGTGGGACCTGTATAAGAATATTTATATGACATTGTTTGTAAAAGAAAAACTTGGAAACAAATTGAATTAACCATCAATAGGGGATTGGGTAAATACATATCCTTTCAAAAGTGTCTTTCAGACTGTTTGTGGCCCATTGGTAGCTTATGAAAGTCAATTTAGTAGGTTGCACCCAAGGTTTAGAAAACTAGAGCAGAATAGAAAACATTTCAAGGATGAAGGGTAATTAATATACTCCATAGATCATAGTCAACAAAGTTTGAAAAACGGCTGTAGAATGCTCTGTAGAAGTTAAAAACATTGAGGCAGATATGTTTGTACTGTCAAGAAAACATCGTTAGGACATAGTAGAGGAAATGTTGTGGAATAATATATACAGTTTGATTGCATTTGCTTTATTTTTAAGCCACAAAATTAAAACCGTTTCTATATATGTGAATTCATAGAAAAAGGTCTGGAAGGATACACGTTTTTTTTTTTTTCTTTTAGAGGCAGGGTCTCTCTCTGTTGCCCAGCCTGGAGTACAGTGGCCTGCCTGGTCATAGCTCACTGCAGCCTTGAACTCCTGGGTTGAAGTGCTGCTCCCGCCTCAGCCTCCCAAGTAGCTAGAACTACAGGCACATGCCACCATGCCTGGCTAATTTTTAAAAATTTTTTTGTAGAGATGGGGTCTCACTGTGTTGCCCGGGCTGGTCTTGAACTCTTGGCTTTAAGCGATCCTCCCACCTTGCAGGTCTTTTTGACAATAGTGATGACCTCTCATGTGGGGACTAAGATGGGAGTGAGGAGTAGCTGAGGAGAACTTTAGGTTTATCTGTGTTTTTGTATTTATGTATTTCTTGTCTAAGAATAAGTAACAAAGAATGAAAAAGGAATTGTTAAGACACAAACAAAAGTGCATTTGTTGATGTAATTGTTTTCTAAATGCGAAGTCCAGTCCCATCTATGGCTCTTATGACACTTTATCAATGAAATGCTTAGTCCTTGTTGGGTCTTGTGGTGTGAATGGACAATTGTTGGCATATAGGCACAGAAGAGATCACTCCTTTTGAGTGACAATTGAGCAAGCTAGAAGAGTGAGCTGGTGAAGCTCGGGGGAAGGTCATTCATTCATTCAGCAAATAAACAGCAGCTGTGACAGCTGCGGCTGTGCTGAGCTCTGGAAACCCTCTGCCTCTCTGTTCATTAGATCCTCACTACCCCTCCCCACCTTGAGGAAGATGTTCAGGGTGCCAGGATGTTGTAGAGGTTCAGAGCATGGGGTTTGAAGTCAAGCCAGCTTGGGGTTTCCAGCTTTATTAACTTTTCCTGGCCTCTGTTTCCTCATTTAAAAGCAGGGCAACATTTAAAAAGTACCACCAACTACAGAAGGGCTGTGGTGAAGATTAAATGGGAGGCCACCTGTCCTGTCCTGAGCGTGGCTCCTGTGCTGTGTGGGTGCCCAGTGCAGGGGAGGTTCCTTAGGATTATCCTTTGCACGTGAGGAGACTGACACTCCACCTTGTGCCACATTCGTATGGGAGCTTTGGGCAGCCCGGACACAGGTTAGCTAGTGGAGAGGGCGTGGGAACCTGGAATTTAGTCTCGGCTTTGCCACTTACCCTTGTGATTTTGAGCAAGTAAGTCCCTGTCCCTTTCGAGGTCTCATTCTTCCCATCTCTACAGTGATAAAATCATATCTGAGCCCTCTTCTTTTGATTATTGTTTTTTATTTCTAGTGGATCTCCATGAGGCCCCAACCTTAATTACAAGGCTAAGAGCGAATGATCAGAATGGGAAGAAGAGTTGCTTGGGGCTGGAGGTGTGATTGGTGCTGACTGGAGGGTGCAGATGACAGAGATTCACAGCATTTTAAAAGAGGGTAGGTAAAGCACAAGTGGAAATTTGGCAGGAACCAGGCAGGAATTTCTGCATTGCATAGTGGTTTTGGTAAGATTTGGGACATCAGATGTCATTTTGCAAACTTCAGTATTTGACTGTTGGAGGCTTGTCTAAGTCCAGAATCTTTGGCATCGATTGCCAGGTAGTTTTCAGCCGTGATTGATCTTGGCATGCGTTATGGATGGGCTGTTTCAGCCAGTGGGAGTTAATGTAATGGTTGTGGTGGAGAGAATCCCAAATTGAGAATGGAGGACCAGACTCAGGCTAAGCTTGGCCAATAACCTGGCGTGTGTGTGTGACCTTGGGCCTTAGGCCCACCATCTGCAAAAGGTGGTGGTTGAACTTAATTTTAATATTTAAAATTCAGTTTAGAGAATGGACTTTGTCCTTTTAGTGATGCTTATTGGAGGAAGTTGGGAATTACAGAACATTAAAAAGGAGGAAAGCATCTCTCATTTCTTTACAAATGATGATTTTTAATATTTTAATGCATTTTGTCTTTTTATGTGTCCATAGCCTACCTACTTCCTGAAAGGATTTGAGGTGACTTTAGTGTATATGCACTGTATGCATTCTTTTCATAATTGAGGACATACTTCATTTAATAAGTTTTTTTCAGTTATCTTTGTAACAGACACATTTTATATGATCATTTTCCGATGTTGGAATTTTATGATATTTCCAGTTTTTTGCTTGTTCTTGATCTTGAAGGTCCATTCCAATGCCAAAGTTAGGTGATCAGGCAAAATTGTCCCAGGAGCAGAATGAATTTGGACTTAGAGGCATGGAAAGAGCAAACTGCCAAAAAGTCAGGCTGAGCTTCTGTCAACTCCTAGTTTGCAGTATGGACAGAGAAGCATGAGTGGAGCTTAGACATAAAAGGCCTGGACTCTGGACTTGGTTCCCCACTTAACCGTGTGTGACCCTGCTAGGATGCCGAAATTGGGCCTCAGAGCGTTCCTTTGAAAAATGTGTGGACCTTCAGGGAATTGGGCAGTTCTAATGATGGTAAATCTCTTATAAATTATAAAGCACTGTATATTTCAAGGTGATGATGATATTTTGCTCCCATTTATGGACTACACACTGTATGCCAGGTATCTTGCTGTGTCTTGCTTAATTGCCAATTACTCTATGAAATAGCTGCTATTCTCCTTTTACAGCTGAAGGAAGTGAGGGTTGCAGAGGTACGTGACAGAGCTTAGAGTAGAATCCAGGGTAGTGTCTTTTGTGTCAAACCATACCTCCAATTATGGTTTAGTTTTCTGTCAGCGTCTCCAGATTCTTACTGAACCTATTTATATAATTCAACCAGTACAACTTCTTGGATCAGTGAAGTTTGCATTTTTGTGTGACATTCTTAAAGCATCTGAATTGATACCTGAGTCCCAGAAGTTGTGATAGGCATATTAGTGGTAATAATAATAATAATGATAAAACAATAAAGGGTACCATTTGTTGAGCACTTACTATGTGCTAAGCGTTTCTATACGTGAACTAATTTAATTTTTGTGGGTAGAGTGATATCCCCATGTAACATTAGGAAAGTGAGACGCAAAAACAGAAGCAGCTTGTACTTGCACAGGGCCTATGTACCTGGCACATATTTGGCACACGGACATTTGATATATGAGCAAATGAATGAATGACTTTGCTGCAGGTCAGTCAGCTACCGAGTGTTAAAGCTGGCACTCATTTCTAAAGCCAGAGCTCAGCCCCACAGCCTAAGTTCTTAACCTCTCCGTTTCATGCCTCCGAGGTAGCTCAGCTATGTGTCGTCCCTCCTGGCTATGGGTTGATGATTATCATGTGTGGTCCCAGCAGTCTTAGCAGCCTCTGTTCAAATACTAGCTCATCTCTCATCCTATGTGTTCTCTCCTAGTGGCCTTGTTCCTAACGTACCAGGTGACCTGGATGGCGTCAACCCCAAAGCTGGTTTGAGAAACGGTGGTGAGTACACAAAGCCAGGTGTTCTCTTGAGTAAGAACAGGGGAAGCAGACACTAGATGGTGAGCTCCATAAGGTGGGGGACTGGGCTTTCATATCTCTGGGGCCCAGAGTCTGCCCTAGCCTGACACATAGTAGGTGCTCGGTATTTTTTGTACGTATTGATTTGCTCTCCATTTCCTGTCATAAACACTAGAGGAATTGATGTCTTTTAGGCCATACTTCATGAGTTTTACTTCTTGCCACCAAGCTGATAGGGATTCAGATAGTGTTTGCTGAACTGAACGACTGCGTGGAGGCTGGACATTGAATTGGTGGCTAGACCAGGCACTGGGGTTCTATTGGTCTCCACGGCTGAGTGGCTGGAGGCCCAGGAGAGCTGCCGTCTGGACTTGGTGTGCCAAGGCCTTGCTGGCAGGCTGCTGGGTCCCATTTGCCAGCTGAGGCCCAGCATTCCTACATGGGCCTGCCCTTTGCAGACAAATAGCTGGTTAGACCACAGGAGATGGCGCTGAATAAGTAGGCAGGGTATTGTGTTTAAGCTGGATTATGAGGAGACTTTGCAGTTTGGGTCTTGCTAAGCATTCTTCATAATTTCCATTTCTGAGAAAAATGAATGCTATCATAAAGTGTCTCTGTGGGTAGTGCTAATAGTTTGCCATGTTGAAATATCTTAGAGATACTTTGACTTTTTTCTCTCCTCCAAAGTGATGAGATACGTGCAAAAGGAAGTCGTTTTTACAGCAGACAGGCTAAGTGTTCCAAGGTTTATTTCTGGAGAGTACCTTAACTTACAGGCCACCCTCAGTTTTCCTTAGGAACCTGTTAACTTTTACTTTAAATAAAAAATGCAACAAGCCTGATTTCTACTCTCTCTGCCTATAGGCAGTTAGAAACAGAAAATTGATAGGCCTGCTCCTTAATTCAGCCAGCAGTGTTCATCTGCCTCATGCCAGGCTCTGGGCTAGACGCTGGGATTCAATCTTGAACGTGTTACCATCAAGGCGAGAGGACAGACAATTAAACAAAAAATTCTGATAAATCATATATATAATCAGAGTCAGGAGCGAAAAATTATAAGGTGCTGTGAGAGGGGATTAGCGGGAGATTTACCCTGGTATGCAGGTGGGCCAGGCAAGAGTTTCCCAAGAAACCGCTACTGGAGCAGAGGCTTGAAGAGTGAGTAGGACCTAGCAGGGAAGAGGAGGGGATGAGCATCCCAGACACAGACAGCAGAGCATGGCCTGTTCAAGGGACAGGAAAACAAGCCCGTGTGCCCTTAGTTTGCACGCAGGGCTCCTCATAGTCTGCCCCACCCACTCTCATGGCCTCTTTTCTGCCGAGTTGTTTTCTGAACACCAGGCTCACTCCAGCCTTTGCCTGGGCTGTTTCTCCCTCCTTTTGTCCCTCTCACCTGCTGGTGGCTGCTTCAGCTCAAAGCTTACCTTCCTTTTTTGGTTCCCCCCAGGCCGACTTGGGTGCACCTTCCTCTCTAAACATGATATATTTCACTTCATTTCATCTCGTTAGTTTATTCCTTTTGGCTACTTTTAAAATATCTAGAATCAGACTATTTTTCACCCACTTATACTCCTGCCATTCTGGTCCAAAACATGGTGATCTCTGGACTGGATGATCCCAGTATTCTCCCAACTGTTCTCCTGCTTTCTCTCCTAAGCCCCTTACTGTCTGTTCTCAGCAAGGCAGCCAGAGGGAGCCTTTAGAAACCAAGTCTGATCATGTTGCTCCTTAGCTCACACTCTTCCAGCGGCTCCTCAGAGTCCTTAGACGAGCCTACAGGACCACACACTGTCTGTCCCCCAACACCTTTCTTACCTCTTCTCCTACTGTCCCCCTTGTTTATTGATCTCCAGCCCACTGGCCTCTTAACTGTTCCTCAGGTCCACGAGGCGTGCTCCCACGTCAGGCTTCTCCCTGTGCCTGGAGTGTTCTTCCCCCAGGTAACTGGCTCCTTCTTCTCTTCAAGTCTGCCCAGATGTCACTTCTCAGTGAGACCTGCCTCAAAATTGCAATCCTTGCCCCACCCCTGGTATTCCCTATCCTTATCTACTTTATCCCTTCCTCCTGCCCCTGCCCCCAGCATTTATTACCTTTTATTATTATGCAATTGCCCGATTATTTTGTTTATTGTCTGTCTCCTCCCTCTGGAATATCAGCTCCATTGTGGCTTTTTTGTTTTTGGAGATGGGTCTTGCTCTGTCACCCAGGCTAGAGTGCAGTGGTTTGATCATAGCTCACTGCAGCCTTGAACTCCTCCTGCCTCAGCCCCCCAAGTAGTTGGAACTATAGGCATGCACCACCACACCTGGCTAACTTTTAAAAACATTTTTTTTTGAAGAAATAGCGTCTTGCCATGTTGCTCAGGCTGGTCTCGAACTATTGGCCTGAAGCAATGCTCCTGCCTTGGCCTCTCAAAGTGCTGGGATTACAGGTGTGAGTCACCATGCTTGGCCCATTGGTTTGTTTTGTTTCCTGATGTAGCCACATCTAGAGAGGGACCTAGCAGAAGGCAGGCTCTCAATACCTATTTGTGGGAAGAATGAATTCATTCATTCACTTAACACACAATTACTCAGCACCTACAAAGTGCCAAGGGCTTTGCACAGCATGGAACAGTTTGTTTACATCTCTTTCTTGCCCACTTGATTGGGAACCTCTTGGGTACAAGATCAGTGTGTCCTTCACTGTTGTTTCCCCAGCACACAGGATGGTGCTTGGCACAGAGTGAGTATGTAATAAATGTGTGTTGAATTAAAGAAGCTGTGGAGAAATTTGGGTATTAGCGAAGTTCTTATTTGCTGTAAAGCAGAGGTCAGCAGTTTCCGGCCTGTTGCCTGCCTTTGGAAATAAACTTTTATTGGAACACAGTCCCTTTATTTGTTTATGAATTGTCTGTGGCTGTTTTTGTGCTGCGACAGGATTTGAGTAGTTGTGACAGATTTTAGGCTTTGAGTATGGCCCACAAAGCCTGAAATATTTATTGTCTGGTGTTTTAAGAAAAAGTTTGCCAATCTTTGCCGTCAAATCAGTTAGACACGCTTCATTTTAATTATTGACAGGTGAAGATGATATCCTGTTCAACAAAATAATTTTGTGAAATAAAGAAGTACATATTAGGACAGTTTGCTTTGCCAAATGCCTGATGCATTTTCTGGGTTCATCTTTTGACACACACATTGTACATTGGGGTTACTTTCAGTAATCTGTAAATATTGGAAATATAATGGTTTAGAGCTTTCCCTGGGCTGAAATCAGTAAATCACAACAGACAGCAAGTACCACAGGTTGTACTATGGAAGCTGTTCATGTTTTTCTTCTCTGGGCTCTATTTCTTAATAGGAATGCTGGTCTATTTGCATGCTATGGTGTTTTCCTATGTCTATTTTACCTTTTTATAGTGCTCCCAGATGTGTCAGAGGAAATGGTGTCTCCCACCAGAGCACGGAACATGAAGGACTTTGAAAATGTAAGTGGAGATACCAAATTATTGTCCTTAACAAATCATGTCTGCTGCTGCTGTCCAACCGGCCCAGGATGGAGCTGTGTTTCTTGAGAACCGTCTAAGCTGAATAATGTCAGAGGCAGGAGGCGTGCCACGTCTTACAGGCTTTCTCTGTGAAACTGTAGCACACACACGTAGTCAGCCCTTTTATGCAAGGGCCAGCTATGGGTTCTGACAGGATCAGCAATTTTCAACTTTGGGGAGTTTGGGATTAATATATTTCTGGTGTCCTGAAGGTGAGGATGTTATATTCCACAGTTCAGGAAAGCTAACATTTGTCAAGGGCCTTACTATTAGCAGGGGTCCCCAACCTATGGTGAGTTGTATAATTATTTCATTATATATTACAATGTAATAATAATAGAAATAAAGTGCACAATAAATGTAATGCGCTTAAATCATTCCGAAACCATACCCCCGCCCCCCCGTCCATGGAAGAATTGTCTTCCATGAAAACGGTCCCTGGTGCCAAAAAGCTTGGACACCACTGATGTAAGGCACATTATTTATGGGCCCTGTTTAATCCTGCTACAACTCTTCAGGTGTTCTGTATTATTCCCATTTTACAGATATGGAATCTTAAGACTAGGAGACACTTGTTTATGGTCATAATATGGGTCAGAGCTGGGATTTGAATCCAGGTTTTTAATGACTTCAAGGCTGTTCTTTTCACTGCATTGTGCCTCCCCTTGCATTTTATAGGCTTTATCTTTGTTGCTGGTGAATGAAATGTGAGCAGCCTGTACCCAGTACTGTATAGTAATTGTGTGAGAATGGATTACTTGGTGATAAACTTGGCTTTGATGCTTAATGTCTTCCAGCATTGTCTTTCATTTGTTAGCGAAGGGGGTTTGTTGTCAAGTAACAGGAAAATAAGTTATTTTCCCAATTCCAATTCTCTTTAACAAGTTACCTGTTCAGTGCTCTCATTTATCTTGGGAAGAATTAGACCCTTCTTCATTTGTAAGCAAATGAAATCCATACTATGCAAGATGCAGGAGATATTTATCAGAGAGAAGATGGAGGACAGGGAGAGAAGGACGTTCCACAATTATGTTTCTCTCTCCCCAGTTGTCTTCACAGAACAGAGCAGTGCTGTCTCTGGATTTAATTTAGAACACTCATTACTGCTAATAGTTATCTGCAAACCACCAGTGACCAATTGAAGAAATGACTTGTCAGATCTCTAATGGAAACAAGTAATTTCTGAGCTTTGAGTTGTTATAATTTCAGCTGTACAACTCGATCTATGCTGTGGGGTCTGGGGCCTCAAACGAATGAGATTTGATTATTCTGCATCGTGTATAATTAAAATATGCTCTACTATTAAATGGTTGTTCCCATTTTATCATAAGAGTAATAATCGCTGCTGTTTATTGAGCTCTGGCTCTGAGCTGGGCACTTTAAGTGTTAAGCTCTTTGTATACATTACTTTAATATTAAAGTGACTCTACAAGATAGAGAGTCATTATTTCATTTTTGAAGGGCACAGTTTTAAATTTTATTTCTAGATGAGAACATTTCACAGAAACTTAGAATTTTGGTTTCACATCATTTGTCTGCCTGCTCAACTGGAAGGAATCCTAGAATTGAATCCAACTCTCTTTATTATATGTGGGAGAAACTGAGGCCCAGGAATGTGATAGGGCAAAGCTGCTCTCAGAGGCAGTCTGTGCTGCTGAAGGACCACGGCTTCTGGAGCCAGACTGCCTGTTTGTCCACTTCTGCTGGGTGACCTTGGGCCAGTCACTTAACCTCTCTGTATTTTTCTCAACCTTAAAATGGGCATGATATTATAATAGTAGCTACTTCTTAGGGCTGTTAGGAGGAGTCAATGAGTGAACATATGTGAAGCACAAGTGCCTAGCACAGAGTACATTCTATGTGTTAGCTATTTCTCCTTCTTATTGTTAGACTTGTTATTTTTTCTACTCTGCCATGTAGTTCAAGTTTCCCTTGCTCAGACGTTTTCTTGATGACCTAAATCCTGTTTTCCTTGAAGGTGAGGGAGAGCCTTCTATGCCAATGTGTTTTAGGATTTATGTTTTGTCTTTATGACTGTGGTCCTTTGGCTGCTGTTAGGTTTTTATGGCATTAATATTTTTTATTGTAGCATTTTCAAGAGCAAATTCTGCAGCTGAAATTGAAATGGCCAGACTGTTCTCAGTGTCTCCCTTTCAGGTCTTTATAAGTCACTGAAATTTTTCATTTGGCCTGAGCTACTAAATGCGTGATCTCTGTGTAGTGGTAGTTTGAACCTTCTGTGGGATGCTTATAGGAAATGCTCTTGGCATCTGAAGCTAATTTTAGAGTCAGCGTGCATACTAAGGAAGGGGCTGGAATACTTTTGATTTAATGAGGAAACTCATGATTCCTCTTATTCCAGTCTCAGATGACATCTAACCATCAGCAGGTGCATTTAGCCAGGGACTAGCAAGACATATGCCCCCTTCTGGTTTTGCTCGGAGTTCATCCGTTCAATAAACATTTTCAAATATATGCCCCTGTGCCAGGCTCTCTGCCAGGGTCTTGGGAATCTGCAGTGGATAAAGACAAGGTAAGTCTTCCTGTCAAGACGCTCAGAGTCTAGTTGGGAAGACGGATAGGAAAACTGCGGTGATAGAGGTAAGCGCAGGGTGCTGTGGGGCCACAGAAGAGGGGCTCTGAATCGACTGGGGGATTCAGGGAAGCCTCCCTGGAGGAGGTGTTGCCTGAGTTGGGTCATCAGGGACAAATAGGGATTGGCCAAGAGGAGAGGGCTGGGAGAACATCCCGGGTACAAGGACTCAGGGTGCGAATTTAGAGAGAGGCATGGCAGGGCGTGATGAATTCAGGGAACTGTAGGCTCCCTTTGGCTAGAAGGAGGCTATATGAGGGGGCTGAGAGAAGTGAGGCCATGGAAGCAGATAGGGGTCAGATCCTGCAGGTACTTGAATGTTACACTGCTTTGTTTTAATTTTGTCCTGAAGATGAAAGGGAACCAGTGATAGGTTTTACTTTAGGGAGGGAAATGACCAGAATTGTGCTTTCAAAAGGTTACCCGGGCTAGTGACTACGAGGAGAAGAGTTTGGAGGGGGAGCAAGGCTGGTGGCAAGGGGGTGAGTTAAAAGGCTCCTGTGTTGTTATGGGCCCGGAGGGAGGAATGCCGGAGCTCAGGGCGTGGAGTAAAGAGGTATTTGGAATAGGGTCAGAATTTCAGAGCTGGAGGAGCTCCGGGAATCGTGTCATCCAATCCCTTCATTTGACACATGGGGACTCTGAAGCCCTTAGAGGGGTAGGGGCTTACTCAGGCTTTGAACCCAGGTCCTCTGGCACAAGAATTCCTTTCTACTACATTTGTCTGTTTTGTGCAAGTACTCGGAAATGTGTAAACCACATGCCTTCCTTAAACGGGTAATCCATTGTCTAATATCCTCATTAGCTGAGGGCATGATCACCTGTACGGTAGGCTTATGGTAGGAAGGTGGCAAATCAGTTTAATCTTCAGTGGGAGCCTGACTTATTGGTCCTTTCTAGATGGCCGTGTAGTAGGGCACTTCCCAGACGGATGGATGGAGGAGGCCTGGCTGAGGCAGGGTTTGTTTGTGAAGGCCAGTGCTTACCTGTCGGGACCTGTTCTGGACACTACAATCTCTCTCTCTCCCTTTAAAAAAATTTTTTGAGTGTGTGGTGTGGGGGTGAGGGGAAACTTCCCCTTTGCCCTAGAAGGTTTACTGAAAGATGAACTCACAATAAGGCAGATTAATGAGAGAAAAAGATATATTTACCCTGGGCATGGGGAGAATCACAGAATGATTACCCAATATCTCAGTGAAGTATAGAAGTTTAAACACCCTCATTATAGAGGGGAGGAGGAGGTGAGGAATATAGGTAATTCTGTTTAGGGGCAATAAATGGTTACTAGGGAGGATGAATAGATATTTGGGAGAATGAATGGATGGGAGAAAAGAGATTAATTTGTAAATGATTCTCTTTGGAAATTGAATTAACTGAGAGACCGATATTGTCTTTGAAATGGGTTGGGTCAGATCTGGTTGCATTCTTGATCTTTTTCCTGCAATGTATTGAGATAACTTGGAGGGGAAGGAAAGGCAATTGTTTTTTTGATGGGCCCCTCTGGTTTTACGCAGACAATGGGAAAGCCCTTTCCAGCCTGTTGATCTCTAAGGGCCTTTAATTCAAAATACTCTTTATACCCAAGAGTCATACTTTGGGTGAAGTTCCCTGAGCTCCTTCAGTGGGCAAGACTCAGAATCTGGTACAGCACATCCAGTCCAGGTAGCAATGTTTATCAATGTGTGCAAGAGTTTAATTCTGGCTTTCAACAGGGAATGACACGGATAGCTTTCTGTCTCCATTAATACTGATGGACGGTGTTACTTAATGGCTGTGTAATATTTCATAATTAAAAGGGATAGATTGAGCCACAATTTACATAATCTCTTACAATGGGACATTTCAAGTTGTTTCTAATTTCTTATTTTTACAAAGCTGTGATGAATATCTTTGTGCATATGTTTTATAGTTATGCGATTTTTTTTAAGTTATATTCCTAGCAATGGGCTTTCTGGATGGCAGAGGTTTTAACTATCATGTATATGCAACAAACAATAGATATTAAGGAGTGGGATTTGTTATTTCTAGTGCCTTTCTTTCTAAGGAATTGGAAAAACACTTAGGTGTGGCTGAAACAGTTATCTGTACGCTGGCCACACCCAGGTCTCTCTCCATCTCTCTCCTTTGCTGCTCTTTTCTCATACCCACCTGCCCTGAGATGCTGGCCTTCTTGTTCTGAGGCCTTTATTTCTATTGGTTGAAAATTCATGCTCTCAGCTGAGGTGGTTGGTCAAGTGTGAGTGTTTTATCTGTGGCTTTGCTAGGAGATTTGCATCTTTAAATTTGCTCTGTAATATCCATATTGTGAGTTACTTACTACCAGAGCATAGCTCTCTCACCCTCTGGC